TGTTAATTTGCAGTTATATGTATAAGACTGAAGTAAATGTCACGAAAATTTAAAAATAAAATAATTTTTCAACTTTCAAACACAAATCTTAAATATTTGATTTAATGTTATACCGTAGTAAATCATTCTTAATCATACTACGCACGATTAATTAGTTATAGCTGTTATGTATGCTTAAAGGTATGAATGTATGATATAACTATTAGCTTATTTGTACACTCATGTTAATAGAATAGTACTTGAAGACCAAAATCTCATTTCAATTGTCTTTTCAATGATTAATACCTCATGAAATTCGAATATTAATATAACCACGATAAGCATATTAATATTTGAGTATCAAGGATTATGGTTATAATGACGCAGTTAAATCAACTATGGCTTATAACGACGTAACATGTACATATGTTATATTTGATGTAACACAACACTCAGTTAGTGTTATCTACATGTACTCACATGTAGTACTGAATATTATGGTAGGTATGTACACACGTGTAATCAAGATTTAAAGTGCATTGAGGGGGTTCTTTCAAGTGTTACATTTGAAAATGTCATAAATAATAGAATGTACTGTAGGATAACAATGTTTTACGTAGGATATTAACGTAGAATTATATTTCATGTTTTATATTGTTGTACCAGGAATATTGAAGTATTGCTCTAGCCCAGAGCCGTAGTCCAGAGACCTAGCCGAGAACCCTAGTCCAAAGCCCTAGCCCTAAAGCCTTAGCCTAAAGCCTTAGCTCAGAGCCGTACCCCAGAGCTTTGTTTTATATTTTAATGGCTGTTTTTGCAACTACTTGCAAAAACATGATTCATAGAGTTCAGATTCTCTAATTGCTGTTAAATTGTAAAAATTGGCTGTAATTGTTTCAAAATGGCTGGCCATATACAAAATTATCTTTAAATTGTATTTTTTTATTATAAATTACCGTTGCTGTATGAATTAGCATTGTAAAATTACTACTACTTCAAACTTCATTGCATTTTTCAAAGTTACGTAAAACTAAATACGACACAACTTTTCATACAATTAACAAATATTGTATTACTTCTACAATATAACTTCTAAGTTATCAAAGCGTTGTAGTAAAATGTGACAAATCTTTGTTGTATTTCAACTTTTTTATAAAATTTATTAAAATGTAAAACATATATCCAAGGCTTCTAATATACTACATCCCGCTCGGTAGTCTGGTACTTGTTATTTGTGTCAAAATAAACACAAATTTTACAAAAGTTTTTGAAATTTATAAAAAATATACAACGTATGCCAAAATGTACAATTTGATAGACATTTACAACGGTTTAAACCCGAACAATAGCATTTAAGCGTGAGAAATGTACTGTTACAGCAAAATGAAACATTTTAATTGTGGTTACATGACAAATTACATTACAATTTAGATAGTCACATGGCTGTCGCATCAGATACGGCGGCTTTTTTTGGGTTGAGGTAGGTAATTAGTTTTGAAGGAAAAACTACGGTATTTTATATTTTATAGTACAAGCTTTAAACTTGTGAAAAAGCCGGGTTAAACCGTATTTTTTTCGGCCTAGCTGTTTTTAAACTTTAATTTGGCCCGGCCCGGGTTTAGTTTTAAATTTAGTTTTAGTTGTTTTTAATCAGTTGACGAGATGAAGACGAATTGTTTAAATATCTATATTTCTCTCTAGGGATAAACTTGACTCATGATTTACTCTGGTGTCAAGCCTTATTATCAATAATTGTTTTCTTTCTCAAGACAACCTTTTTCTCTCTTTGTACTTTTACCTCTCAGTTACCCTTCTGGCAATAGATGATTTATATTGGAGTTGGACCTTTATTCTGAAGGGCGGCACACTATGTGATTTTGAACTTTTACTTCTATGTGAACGTCATTATGGTAATATTGTATTGAGAGCAACTTCTGTGCTAAGACAATTGTTACCTAATTGTCTACTGAATTCCAGTTTGATAATAAAGTCTATAAAATACTACTGGGATAGTTTGGATCATTGTTACTTGATGCGCTGTTTCCTTGAGTTATAATACAGCGGCTGTTTCTTTGGATTGGAAATACAGCGACCGTAGATTTGGAGCTAATCTCAACGGTACATCGAAACTAGGACACCACTGGAAGTGGTAGTTGGAGGACTTATTGAATTTATTGGTATATTCGTCGTGGATCACCTTGCTTAGAAATGGTTCGCCACATTAGTCTTAGCAACATAGCCTAAGACATAGCCATAGCTGTACCTCAAAGCTACTGTAACTATAGTAGTTATTATTATCATTGTCAAAAATGGGTACGAGCAGTAATGTATTTGTTATGACAAAACTACATTCTTTTGTTCCTTGTCACAAATTAGAATGACATTAATCTTGTAACCGGTTTGTAACCAGTACCAGTCTACTGAGTGGGATGTAGTGTATTATTTTAAATGTATGTTTTTGTTATTGTAGTCCGTAGATAAAATTATATCACTTTTTGTAGCTGGTATTGAATGGTAAAATATAAATTTACTAAATGATATCAAGGTAATTTTTAGCCTTAGCTTTAGTCTTAGCCAAGGGTTTGTCATAGGCTTTAACCTAAAGTTTTTTAAGTTTACTACAAACTTGGTGTAGTATGTATTCTTCTTTGTTTATGTATAACTGTTAAGAAGTCGATCTTGCTCAAATTTTCAATTACATTTCTAACTTATTTGGTGCTTTTTTCATCAGTTTTACATTAAAACTAAACTAGCAAATTCCCTACAAAACAGTAGACGTGCCCTTTTAATTTGTTTTTACATTAAATTTCTTTTTTGTCACGATGACAACAAAAAAACATCTTGTTTTTCATGCTGCTGTTACATTGGCGTTTACTTCTCATTGTGAACGTTATAATTCTGATTGTGAACGTCTTGATCACCAAAAGTCTCGATTATATCACAAGTTTTTTGATTGCGAAGAATAGTTTCGATTTGAACGGTAAATAGTAATCATTAGTCTAGTAATTTATGTTACAACTGGCTGTAATTTGTTAAAGGTTTTAGATTTGTTGTTGTGTTAGCAACCAAATGTAATCCAGCTTTTTAGAAAGAGGGATATAAATAGAAGTTTTGATAATTTAGAGGCAAATGCGACAGGGGGGAAGGAGGAGAAATTCTCTTCAAAATTTTTTTTCGTAAGACATGCTTAGGCTAAGTCTAAGACTAAAGCTAAGGCTAAAGCTAAGGCGTATAAATTTTTTTCTAAAATTATTTTTTTACTCATTTCATTTCCTTATAGTAATAAAAGCCATCTTCGTAGTCTTACAGTACAAACATAACTACTTTAATGCTATTAAGTTAAACGTAATACCATTTTCATACTATTAAATTACAAAAATGATTACTTTTTGACTATTACAGTAAACGTAAGCCCACATTTTCAACGTCAACAGATTGCCGAGTTCATAAAGTTAATTATGCAAATGGCACGAGCAAAAAACACCCAGCACTGTCAGCCTATAAAAAAGCGTTTTGTACAATAATATGCTAATTGTATGCACAAGACTACAAGTTTTGATTGCAAAACAAGAAAATACAAATAGAAATGACAAAAACAGTTTTTATGAAGAGATATTGAAGTAGAAGAGGTAGTATCAGAGCTATGATAAGATAGATATTGCTAGAGTTACAATGACAGTTGATGCTAAGTTAGAGCTAGTACGGGGGTACTGTGTGGTGTTGACAAAGTTACTATGTATCATATAGTGCTGAAGGTATTCTGAAAGGTACCATAATATTTTTCACAATAACTTGTTGACAAAGTTCCTACAAGAAGTACTGTGGTAATGAGTGTTCAAAAAGACCAACTTGTAGGTAGTTGAAACAGCTCTCAAAGGCCATATTGTAGTACACAACTGTTGAAGACGACTCAACTTTAGTACTTAAAATTAATAACGACATATAACTAGAGTAATAAACTGTAATTGAAGTTATGGTTAACAAGTTTGAAAATAACAAGTTTAGGAAGTTTTTCGACTTCATAGCTTGCATTTGCAAGTGAAATGTAAAGATCAAAAATTTCAAAACTGAAACTTGCAAAATAAGTTGAAAATTAAAGGTTGCAAAACAAAAAATAAAAAAATAGTTTAAAAATTGAAAGTAATGGTGACAATAACAAAAAGGTTTCTATGACAAGGTTTAGACCTAGACCAAACAGAGAACCCACTCGAGCCCAGCCCAACTACACCCATGCCGAAGAAAATTTAAAAGAGGCCGGGCTGGCACATATAGACCTTAGGGTCGGGCCGGAGCCTAGCTTATGTCTCGGAAGATTTGACTTGATTTTTATAATATATAGCCCACTAAATTTGCAGGCCATAGAAATACCCTATACAATTACACTTGTAAGGGGCTTACTAGACTCGGCCCAACCTCTGTACAGGTGTGATATATTACAATGTAATTAGCCCACCTTTAAATTTTTTTTTATACAATAGCAGTACAATTTCATTGCAAAGTAATAAAAAAGAAGTCATATTATACATTTTTCCATTGAATTTACAAAAAGTTTTTTTAAAGAGATAAAAATAAAAAAATAAAAAGTTTCTTGACTAAACCAAAGTTGCATTTAGTCTATAACATATCATGATAAAGCAGTTGTTTACAATTTCTAATTTATATTATAATTTCAATCTTTTAAAGTCACAAATTGTAAGAAATTTCAAAATAAACAAAGATTCATCATTCCCCGAAAATTTTTTTATTAATCACGAAAACTCCACACACCCTCCACCTACACTTGAATACAGCAATTTACTTTGGCGAACTAAACTATTTTATAGAAAATTTGATAACGTCATTTCCAATTCATCATATGATTGAGCTACTACGGTATCTATTAAAAAAAAACTTTAAAATTTTGAATTTACAAAACATAAACTATAAACACGGCAGTTATTTTGAACATAAACCGCTATATTAGTTATGCATTGTACCACTAATGCTAATAAAGAGAGTAAAGAGACAAAGGCTATAAAGCTATGGCTATGGCTATGGCTATGGCTATGGCTATGGCTATGGCTATGGCTATGGCTATGGCTATGGCTATGGCTATGACTATGGCTATGGCTATGGCTATGGCTATGGCTATGGCTATGGCTATGGCTATGGCTATGGCTATGGCTATGGCTATGGCTATGGCTATGGCTAATGACTATGGCTATGGCTATGGCTATGGCTATGGCTAATGACTATGGCTATAGCCAAAGATAGCGCTAAGTGAGGACTCAGGCTCAAGCTCAATGTCAAGCTTATGGTCAAGCACAAGCTTAGGCACAGGCTTCGGCTAAAACTTATCATAAAAATTTTTAATAAGGTTTATATTAATAATAGTAAGAACATCACCCAAATCATAATAAATAAGTGTTTATTAGCTTATAATAGCAGTGTAATTGCTCTTTAACAAAACCCGTAGCCGAGTTGGTTACAACAAGTGTAAGAATAACAACAAACTATTGAAATAACAGTGGTAGGAAAGACGACTATCGGTGGAATGCGTGGTATGTTTGTGGGGAGGGGAGAGATCTTGGTATAGAGTAGCGAGATCTATCAGGCAATAACAATATGATATCTTTTGGGTTATGATATGTAAGGTGTTAGGGTTCATAGTAGTACGATTTGGAAGCTAGAGTATTGTATCTTTTGTGAAGTATTACGGAATTTCAAATACTACAGTAACTCAAATTTGATAATTATTGTACAAAATACCATACTACTTCAATGTACCCCAACAAGTTGAATAACAAGAATAATAGCTTAAGTACTATAATATAGCACTACTTTTGTTTCTATCTATCAAAGTAATCTCAGACTAAAGTTACAGTATATTCAGACCGTGTTACTGTATTCAGGCCGTATTACTGTATACAGACCGTATTACACTATTCAGACCGATCGTTGACTACGGTAGAATTCGTCAATCGATGATCCTTTGTTACATAAATCTGTATTACAAACACATCGTACGATGTAGCTAGCGCCTTCTTGAGCCAGTAGCGTCTGAGCAGCGATTTTTGGATTCACTACGCCAGAGTTTATCACCATCTTGTACATGTCGTATTTCTGAAAATGGGAAAATCGGTAAAAAAATTACGTTTTTAGGTCAATATTTTGAAAATTTACATATAATTTCAAAAATTTTATTTTTTTTCAGTATTGTGCTATTTAGTACGGTACTAAATTTGGCTTGTATTTTTTTTTGGTTTTTACTATCATACCATTATAAAGTTAAAATGAATTTTAAAAAAGTGTTTTTTAGTACGATACTGAAATTTTATTATTGAAAATTTTTATTTTTTGCAGTATCATAGTAGTACAAAACTAAACGTTTTTTTGTAAAAATTCAACTTTTTCAGTATCGTACTATATAGTACGAAACATAAAAATAATAGAAACGGTTTAATCTAAGTACCGTACTAGTTTATCCTAACACAAAAAAATGTTTTTTACAAAAAAAAATCATAGTAAATATAACCCTCCAAAACTTACTTCATGCATACAAACAGCCACTACTGAATGCCCATTGTTGCTTTCGCTTAGCATTGCAGTAAGTTTGTCCTGTTCGGTTGAAGCAATGTTTTCTTTTTTGATTCCAAATATACTGGCCGTTTCGATTTTGCCATTATCATTCACTCGCTCTGGTATCACAACACAGAATTTGATATCTGGGGATTCTACTGTTGTTACTACGCCCTATAACAATATTATTATTATTTATGATTTTATGAAGTTTTAAAGCTATTTTAAGCTTTGGTCTAGTGAGTATAGGTAAAATACGTAATTTTAAATAATTTAATTTTTTTATATTTAAAAATTTTTATTTTTCGTATTTAAATCATATTTTTAATTTAAAATTTTAAAAGACGAAAATCTACGCACCGTATTTTACAAAAAAATAAAAATGTTGAAACCCTAATTAAAAGTAGAATAAAAACTTACAGCTTCGTTATCATAACACGCTAGGCTTTGTACTGAACATTCAATGGACAATAGTGCTAATAAGCACGTCCTAAAGATGGTTGAAACGTTCATTTTTTGTTGATATGTACTTTTACTTTACAATAAAAGTTGATTATAGCAAGAACAGTACTAGTACTTGTAGTGGTAGTACTAGTACTAGTAGTGCTTAGAAAAAAATAGTACTGTACTCAAACAATAGTACTTGTAAAAAAAGTGTCGTATAACTTGTTTTAGTACTATCTTAGCAAATATAAGTGCTATAGATAGTACGATGGTACTATATAGTACGATCGTTCAGTACGGTGCTTTTCACACTAAGTATCGTATTTAAAGTTTAAAAAATTGGCCAAAAACGGCTTCAAACTTCAAAAAATCAACTTCAAAACCACTCTATTCACTATCAGCAAAAAACAGCTAATAATGATTCGAAAAGTAAGCAAATTGTGAAAAAGTTTTGTCACAATTAGGCAGTTAATCACAGCAATTCGACAACTGATGCACGGGCTTCCTGCGTTTTCTTAAATACGACGCGGCCTTTCCGAAGCCCAACCCCCCTCCTTTTTGTATACGCTTTTTCCATTTCCCCTTAAGGGCAATCGGTGGGCGGGGCCTGGGGTTTATTAACCACCGGATTTCGGCCGGGGAAAAGCGAAAGAATAGTTAAGAAGACTTTGAGATTTACGGTATACCATGTGAAGGTGTTTTTTACAGAGTATATTGTAAATCTCAGAGATCGTTGTAGTGATGAGAATGTAAGCCTTGGTACGACTGGTACGGTAGGAAGTAGAAAGAAGTAAAAAGTACACAAAAAACAATCTGACCATTCTAAAATAACACTTTTATGACATTATGACAGGGAAGGTAGGTATTGTAAAAAGGGTTTACAACAACATGAAGTATAAGAAAGCAAAAAAGTACAAAAAGATAGAGCAACGATATTTAAAATAACCTTTGGCCGATCTCATTATAAAAACATGTGCCAAGATTTCATGAGACCACGATATATGTAATGTTCAGAAATATGCCCATCTTACCTATCTTACCTTACTCTCATCCTACCCTGCCCTACCTCAAAGACCTAAAGTAACTTTTTTTCTCAACTGATGATAAACGTGCCATTATCAGTTGTAATTGCTGAATAATGAAAATCAAATTATAGTAGAACACTTGAACCGTATAAAGTAATATTACGTGTTCTATAATTTCATTTGAAAAAATAAAGTCACATTAAACTGGTTTTAAATGTTATAACTGGGTTAAAGATTAGGCAATTGCTCTGTAACTCATGTATGTATAAAGGGTGCTAGTTTTGTAACATAAATTTTGGCGCACTTTGTAATATTATGTCTATAAGATGCAGTGAAACTAATAAATTAATGTCTAATGATTTAAAAAGTCGTTTTTTATGAAGGTGCTTCGTTATACAGAAGTTCTTAACGCACGGTGCAGTGTTAGCTAGATGATTACAGTAGAACTTCTGTGTGATGAAGTGCGTGAAGATCTAAAATTGGTTCGATCGGTTTTGGTATAGAAGAGTTTTAAATTTATAGTGTAATGTAACATGAAAAGTTTCTCTGTTATTTGAAAGTTTTGTTATACATGGGTTTGATATATATGTCTTCTACTGCCCTATTTAAATTATAATGACAAAAATATTTTGAAAATTTGATTAATTTTTTGTTACAGTACGCTTTTGTGTATTCTTTCGAGCGATACATGAGTATGTTTGAATTTGAACTCTTTTGTCATGCTTTTTTAACTCTAACTGTTAAGAGCTTGTGATAGCCTTTATAAGAGTATTATATGTTGAACTTTGTATTATGTGTATTCATTGTTACAAACTCTTATAACCTTTACAAAAATTTGATTTAAAAATGTTTTAAACTGTGGTCTCTGTCCTGTCTTTTTGTAATTTGCTTAATAGTCAAAAATTCAGTTTTTTTATAATATTATACTATAATCCAGTCCAAACTCAACATCATACTTTTCATGGTTAATTAGACCAATCGTATTTATACTTTTTGCTTAAAAAATATTTTGAATAGACAATGGCAAAGAAATTATTTTGATATGATAAAGAAGGGGTTGATGAGGTGGAGAGGGCAAGAATAAGGAGGAAAGGGGGAGAGAGAGGGGGGGAAGGGATAAGAAAAATTTTTGTAGGATTGTAGGATGGGTGGGGGGAAAGAAGATAAATAAGTTATTTGTGCCAAGTATAGTCTATTGGCTATGACAAAACAAAAAATAAGATCAAAAAGAGAGTGCCAGAGAAAAAAAGAAAAAAGAAGATTAACTAAAAAAACATTTTTAGAAGATTAAAAATGACAAAAAACATACAGTTTTACACAAATTAACTAAAGAAGTACATGTGTACATGTCTGTCAATAAAAAACTGTATTGGGCGGGGCTTACGAAATCAAAAACATTTTTTCGAATTTTTTGAAAATCGGCCGGAAATTCCAAAAAACATCTAAAACTGGGCGTAGCAAAAAATTTTTAAATTTTTTTATGAATTTTTTTTCTCTTTGCCTTGCCTTGCCTTGTTTTTACCTTTGCCCTGCCTTTGCCCTGCCTTTGCCCTGCATTTACCATGCCTTAATTACCCTGCCCTACATAAGCTTACTCTTCCATGGCCGACTCTGTTCTAACTTTCATATATTGTTATGTCTTCTTCTAAATACATAAGCCTAAACTATCCGAATGGTAATTAACTTTTAGTCCAATAACATTACCAAGATGTTTTAAAGTACAGATCCAATTTATAGCACGAGACTACAGATATAATATTTGTAATTTCGTGATTGAAAATACAAAACAGTGGAATATGCAAATTTATAATATAGATTAATTAGTTTTACACTAAATGTAAAACGGTATGTTATATGTATTTTAAAATATATATGCGTTTAACCAGTCGACATGCATGTCAGGTCTGTATTGTAAGTCGTGTTTAAAGGTACATGGTGGTATTTTTAGACGTACTATTAAAACATTTTTTTTCAAATTGCAAATTTTTTAAAGATTAATTTCAAGTTTTTTGGTATCCCCTCTATCAATTGCGAAGAATGGAAGCAAAATCGTGTCTGACCTTTTTGAAGCCAAAGAAAAGTGCAATTGAGAGAGCCATGCAAATTTTCAAAAAAAATCATTTTTAAAATAAAAATTTTGCGAAAATCGGTGAGAAAATTTTGTAAAATTTTGATAAAATAGAGCGGTCATTCAATAGCAAAAATGTTTTGCAACAGGTTTTAGAGTTTGAATAGGTCCAAAAAATCGGCACAGGTAAGCTACCTGTGCCGATTTTTTCCAAAGTTTTTTTTCCAAAAAACGTTCAACTTTTTTTCAAAAATTTTTTTTTCTGGGGGGGTGGTACCCTCTCCCGTCCCTCCCCCCTGGCGCCCGGCCCTGCCTCTAAGTCATCTACAACACTCATAAGCCCAAACCTCTTTCTAAGCCTAACTTTTTACGACGCCAAAACGGAATTCCGACTAACATACCGCAAGACTGTAAGCCTCTCAACAACATATAACACCCTAAACATTTGTCATCGCAGTTTTACACTCTGTAAGCGGACTACCATCGACCAGTCGAGGGGTTTCGCTGACAGCCGGCTTACAATTACATACATAAAAAATGCAAATCCGTTTCTCGGATTGTATTGTACCACACATCGTTGTAACGAAATGCACGTTAATTAACCAAAGAGATGTCTAAAATACTCAAACGGGATTGGAAAACGGAAAGAACCGTAGGAATTTAATTACTGTGAATTGTAAATGGTGTGTAAATTTGGAAAACACAAGATAACAACACCATAAAGCGATTTGAAATGGCGGAATTACAGTTTTAAGCTTGAATATTACATATATTGTGAAAATGAAATGCCAATTTTTAAAAGAAAAATGACAAATTATAAAAATTTTAAAAAATTAAAAAACTTTTTCAAAAGAAGCTTTACTCCATACTTACTAGCCCTAGCCCAGAGACCTAGCTCAGAGGCCTACCCAAGAGCCCTAGCCCAGAGCCCTTGCTCAGAGCCATAGCCTTAAGCCTTAGTCCAGAACTCTAGCTCAGAGCCCTAGTCCAGAGCCCTAGCCCAGAGCCATAGCCCAGAGTCCTAGCTTACAGCCCTAGCCTAGAACCTTAGCCTAGAGGCTTACCTCTGAGCCCAAGCCCAGAGCCTCAACTCTGCTTTACCATACCTCATTCTACCTTCTGCTACCTTGCTTTTTCACTGTATATTTCTTCTTTGCTTACGCTATCTTAGATTACCCACCTATACTATTTTCCTTAAACCTACTCTATTTTTAATCTGCTCTATCTTAGCCAACCTCTCCAATTCCTAGCCTATATGATTTTAGAATATGATATCTTAAACTCTATCACGTTGACGTTAACCCTACCTTAGGTTTATTTTTTTCATTGCATAAGCTCTACAGTTTTTACATTCCTTATAATAACTTAATCATAACAGCTTGCTCTACTTATCACCAACCTTAAAATACTTGTACTTTTTTGTATGCATAATATAACAGTAAAAACGCAGCAACTCAAAAAAAATTTACTTTACTCAAAGCAAATATAATAGTAAAGAACCGTTTTTGTTTATTATGCTGCTTTATCATATCTTTTCTCGAATAAAAATGCTAATCATATCTTAAAATTTTACTTTTCTTCTAATTAGTATACCTATGGTTCTGTTTGTGATTTACCTATAGCAAAAAGTGTAAAAACCATGTTCTCATTAGCGGCCAAGATTAAAAAGTAAATGTAGATCAACTTCCGCCAATTTCCCCCGAATTTCGCGAAAAATCCGTGCCAAAACTTTAACCATTACTACAATCGTGGTGTTGTACTTTTACAATTAGATTTCGGATATGTTGCGTGTAATGTGTCACGTGAAATTAAATAGTTAATTAGGTTTGTTATACGATTACATGGCGAAATACACAGTGATTGTCACAGTTTATACGGGGGGTAATACTATCTGTGGCCTAAAGTGGTTAGAGTTTTTTTGGAAAGTTAATTTGGTTTGGTGTAATGTGAAGAAACTTTCTTTACAAAAAGATGCTTTTTGAAACTTTAAATTGAACAAAAACCTTGTTTACAAAAGGAACAAAATTTGAAATAAATACAGTATAATTCTCCGCTCTGACCTGCCTGCGCCCTGCTTTTGCCCTGTCTTTCAACTGCCTTTTCCCTGCCTTTGCTTTATATTTTCTTAAGTTACAGTATGTTGCCTTAATTTCTCAAAAAAATAGAGTATAACACATTAATTAAATTTTAGTTACAGTAAAATCCTAAAATTTGTACCACCTTTTGTATTAGTACCCAAGAACATTCAAAAATATGGAAATGTTATATAATGTAAATATGTATACATATACATTTTTTAAAATCGTAGTCGTACTCTAGCCTAAGTTTTAGTACATTAGTTACCGCATTACAAGAATTTGTCATTATATGTATTATATATACAATATAACAGTAAACCACAACAAAAAACTTAATAACATCAAAATAATAATAGGTCGCTACATAAATTGCCTTGCCTTGCCTTGCCTTGCCTTGCCTTGCCTTGCCTTGCCTTGCCTTGCCTTGCTCATGGCCTACTGCTATCCATGGCCTAAGAATGCGCTAGCTATGTTTTACCCATGCTTTATCTGTGTTCTACACATGCTTGCACCGCCTTACCAAATCTTATCTTTAGTCGTTCAGCTTTGCCCAATCTTGCCCAGGTTAGCCTAGCCCAGTCTATAGTAAAGCTTAGCTTAGTTTTGCTTAGGCTAGTACTGCGCTGCCCTGCCTTACCCGGTCTTGTTATGTTATTCCTTGCACAGTCTGGGTAGTATGTCTTTAACCATTGAATATATTATATTTACTGACGCTACTAAAAATAAAAAAGTATTCTACAGAGTAACTTATCTGTGTAAAAAATCAACAAATTTTCCAAATTTTATTTTTATAATTTATTAGTTTCTTTTGGAACAATATTATTAATGTAACAACAAGGTGTAATAATTAAAGTGAAACATATGGCAGTGAACAACAGTATACACAACATCAAAGACAAACGGCTGAAGATCAGTAACAGGTAAGTGGAATAGTGTAAGTTGTAACAACATGTATATATTACTAAGTGTAATATATAGAATACTATAGTAATATAGAACTGATAGGCTTTCGAGTAAGATCATTCGTGATATCAAGGTATATGCTAAAGTAAAGTTTAGTAAAAGGAAGTGAATTGCTGATAAATCTAGTAAAAACAAGATACGATGCAGTAAAGATTGAGTAACAAGGTAAGGCAATGTAATGTAATATACGAGTTACAAAGAAGAAATAATATTAAGTTGTTCAAATAGTTCTGAACCTCTACAAAAAACAAATTTTTGGTGTTACAGAGCACATAATTATTTGAACAATCTAATATATATAAATTATCTTAAAATACTACTGTATAAATATAAAGTAATTTAAAATACTACAGTAATATGTTTGTATGGAGTACTGTAAAGCACCTGGATTGTGTTTTGGTATGAGATTACATTGTAAAAGTAAATTACTAAACTCTTCTTGTTCTATCACACTTAAGGCTACAGTAATCAAGCTGGGTTCAATGAGATACAATAAGACACTTCTACCTAATCTATTGGGACGTATGTCAAAAGATACGACACTTTAACATAGGCTTTCTATAGCAGCTTAAGCTACAGTACCTGTACCATATCGCTGTGATACCGTATACATACCATACCTATAAAGTACAGTATAAAAAGCTATGTTTTAAAGTGTCATATCAAAGGTCATTGTCGTATCTAGACAAAGATCTTTAATTGTTCAGCATAGAATTCGTCTATCGTTGCTCCTCGGTTACAGTAGTTGCTTCTACATAAGCATCGGGTCATGTATTCAGGGTCAGGTAGCTTGTGGGTGAACTTTGGCCCATACGACTGCTTTACTATCGCTGCGAAATCGTATTTCTGAAAAAATTAAAACTAATATTTTATTTTTAAAAATTTTTTGAAATTTTAAAATTAAAAAAAAAATTTTTTTTTTTGTAAACAAAGTTTCTTCAAATTTTCGAAAAACTCACTTCCTGAATGCACATGCTGATAAGAGTAGAAGAAGCAAAGAGCTCATCATAGATCTCAGTGTCATCCATTTCAGCAGTCAGTCCATATTGGCTAGGCTCTGTCATCTTGCCATCTTTTCCCATGACTGGTGGTATCGTGATGCAGTATTTGTATTCTGGGTCTTCTATCACTTCCAGATATCCATTGTCATTTGATAAACATGACAGGGCTGATACTGTTGATATTACTGACATTAGGCTTAAGAATTTTAGCGTTGAGGCCATTGTGGGGATTGCTGTAGATGTAAGTATGGAGGAGTATAAATATTTCTTTGTATATGTATTTATATTACGAAGTAAACGCCGCTGTATTCGTTATTACAGAGTAAAAACCACTGTACACAAATTTAAACGACGTATGTGGATATAAAACTGATATACCAAGTTTTATACTAAAATACCACACAATATAGCAATTGTATTCAAGTGTTCAATGTAAATATCAATTTGTATTGTCACTAAGTAGCAGTTTTTAAAATCGTAGTTGATTTTAACTTTCTAGTCGACTGGTACGAGATCTGCAAATAGTAAAGATACAATCAAAACAAGGGACTACCAAGCGCGAAATGAAAAAAATACAATTTTAAAAACGATTTTGTGAATTGAAAAAATACAATTTGAGTAGGAACTGGTTGAAAATACAATTTAAATTTTAAAAACGTGCTTAAAAAATAAAGAATAGCATTTTAGGTACCATTGTAAGCTATAAAAAACAGTCAACCGTCAAAACCGCAGAAATATCCACAGGGGGGACCCTTACCAAAATTTCCATCAAAAACCAAAAAAAAACATTTTTTTTTCAAATTGCAAAAAATTTTTTTTTTAGCCCACGGTAAACCTGTTAACCCATGTTTCAAGTAAAAACCACCAAACACAATCAATTCCCAGTAAATAAAAAAACTGAAAAGTCATCACCCAAAGCAGACAACGATCGACTGACAATGCTTTTTAACATTGAATTGTGGTCTATTCAGAAACCGAATACCAAATAGCGTTAACCGAATTACAAAGTAAAGAACTATAAAAGGACAGTGACGGTAATTGACCTTTCGAATGGATATAAATAAGTCACGTTCCAATTTTGAATGAGCGTCATTTGGCTTCCGGCCAAAAGGGCAAGTGGTCAATAAATGGCGGAAAAGCGACAAAAACGTGGTGAACTATTAATTTTTGAGGTGGGGAGCGTATACGTGAATCAATGTAAAAGAAATATAAAAAAATTTTTTAATTTTGAAAAAAAATTTCGGCGAAAATTTCAAAAAATTTGAACAGGGTCCCCCTGTTGATAATTTTTCAAAAATCAAAAAAATTTTTTGATGAAATAGACAAACTTTGTTCAAAAAATTATGTGCCCCCTAACACCTCAAAACTATTTGAACAACCTAATAGTACCAAAGTAATTCGTTATAGTACCAAAATCAAAAAAACAAAAAAAAATTAGTACCAGAAAACTAATTGTCACCCCATATGCTTTAGAATACAAGCATATCTCCATCAGAAATATAAACCCATATTCACTAAAATGCAAGCCCACATTCACCAGAATATAAGCCCATATTAATTACAATACAAGCCCATCCCAATCCAAGACACCTTTGGTTTTGTCCCAATTTTTCTCATTAACCAAACCTTACTCATTACAAGTTTATATAGTGGAGATGCGCCGCCACGCCCCCTTTTCGCTTGCAAGCGAAAATTTAATTGAGAAATCTCTCAACATGAGCCGGCCCATTTTTTTTGTGCCTAAGGGGAGGGAAATCTCTTCATTCCCTTAATCCCTTTTTCCGGTCAAGACTTTTGAATTTTAAACTGTATTTAACACGACTTAAGGCTAAAGAAGTGACATCAAAAAAGAGCTAAGTGGAGGCTTAGTATTTAGAAAAGGTAGGAGAGTAAAGATTTGAAACTGAGAAGGTTACTTTAGGGTTTGGTTAAGTACTAAATTTTACTTTTTTAAATTTTAAGAAACCTCAAATTGGTTTGTTATAAAAGAGTATTATTATACCGAAGGTTAAATGCGCTGTCTAGCGTTTAGACCTGTAAAAAAGCTAGATCAAATCAAATTTTTCGACCAGGCCAACGTTTTGTTTAGAACTCAGACTTCGGGTTTTCGCTAGATTGGTCGCTTTCAAACTTGTTTTATTCCGGCTAGGCCATATTGTAACTAAAGGTACTTTTTTCGGTTAGCCCAATAAGAAAAATTTGAAAAACAATATTTTTAAATATAAATAGAATCACATATCCATATGCCATAAGCCATTTACAACACGTTCACAGCAAATATCCTTAAAAGATAGAAATAAACCAGAATGTCATATTTTTTAAATTAAAAGAAAACACTGCGTGTTATAATGCCAAAACATCAGTCATCGTACGTAAAATCAATGATAATAAAAACAATGTGATAGTATGATAGTATTATTGTGATAAAACAAGCTATTAAATCATAATCTTGTCCGTTCACAAGGTAAAATGCTCTTAAAATCAAAGTAAAATGTTATTAAAATTTGTTATTAAGCCTTGCCAACGCAAAATAATAGCACTTAACATTAGTACATGACTTGATAAACGTCAAGATAGTACTAAATACCACGTGGAAACAAAATAACAATGTCAAACTAGTTTTTTTATTGTAAATAATCACTGGAGGGGGGGGAGGGAAGAGAGGGTAAACAGGGGTAGATCTACACCTTCCCAAAGACAGTTTAAAAAAAATTCTGCGACTAAAGATAAATAACTACATTGAAAAAAAATTGTTTTAGCCCACCCTACAGCTTAAAGATATTGTATGTGAACTATAAAGTAAACCATAATGTTTAATTGAAACTAAGCTATCATGTGTAAAATCGCCTATACCAATGAGTAAAAAAAAAGAATTGCAATTATTATAAGTAATGCATTAACAGCTTTAAATGTTACGTTTTCGATATTGTATGTCGAATTAACTAAATCGTTTTACGTTAAACGACTGTAATGTAAATCGATTTTACAGCCTCATTCGTGGTATACCCAGATTAGTGAAAAATTTTGTCTGGAGATGTGACAATACAGGATAAACACCTACATAATATGCATTAATGTATTGATTTAGAAAGCTGCACTTTAGGACATGTAAGTGCTTGTAGACTATGAGTGTACTTAAAGTTTCTGGAGATTAGCAAGACTGTACAGAGATCGTTTTTATTATTATAGTAGTTTTTTGTTTTTATGTTATTAGAGGATATAAAATACAGTAAAACCTCTTTAGTAAGACTCTTAAAGAACTGTTCCGAACTTGTTTTTTTAACTAGAGTAAGACAGAGACCAACTACTTTTTGATAGGAGTTTTGCTATGAAAAGCGGTAAAGAAAGCGTCATTATAAAAAGAAGTCTTACTGTATCACAACATAATAGCTTTTTATACTTGTAAAGAAGCTAAGCCTTCTTTGCCTCAGTCCTGCGGGCCGGGTTTTGATTCAGGTTCCAATTCTCGAGCTGACTGGACCAAACTTTTCAACTCTGCTTTGGTTCAACTCTGCTTTGGTTTGGCTGTCAGGTCTACCCCGGTTAGACCGTGAACCTTTACTATCGCCCAGTACAAGGAACCCTGCTAGTAGTCAAATTAATGTCGTTATAATTGCACTGTCGAAACTTGCCATCATTATATGGTATCACGTGTCGGACTTACATAAGATAGGCCCCTTGGGGCATTGGTGTTGGAAATAAATTTTAGGCGCACATGTCTCAGCACGGCAAACATTTTTCGAATTTGCTTTTGCCCAGCCTAAGGAGTTCTCTTTCAGGTATATCTTTTGTTTGACCTTGAACCCTCACTATAGCTCGGTGCAAGAAACCCCACTAATACTCGAAACAATGTCATCATAATTGCATTGTCGCAAACATACCATCATTATATGGTATCATTGCAATTTGTCGTACTTAAGAACCCATAGTATGAACATATAAGTCATAGTATAATTTGAATATCAACAGAATTATCATGTCAACGACATCGTGATAAAAGCGTTGCACTAAACTAACAAGAAAATATTACGCAACATTGAAGTTCTAAAAGAGTTCGACCAACAAAACCACAGAACTGATAAGTACTAAAGGTCGTTGGAATTACATTCCTAATATCGTAGTACTTTCGGTTTGTTTACGGTGTTGTTGATGAGATTAAAAACAAGCAAGAAAAACTAGTTTTAGCACAAGGAATTGGATGTTTAGCTGTGTTAATAATAGAATGGTAATGGATCTTATATTTTATTTTGAAGTTTACAACTGTTTACATGGTGTTTTTGTTAATTAACAACTATATCGCATTAGTCCTAACAATGTGATATGATTAATATAAAAAACCGAGTTCATTTATTCATTGTGAATTAATTAAGCTCATTGATTTTTTGGTATTCTTTAGTCTTTAGCAGTTTTACATTTTATTATGATATAGTGTGTGGTTGTCATTTAAGCTAAGTAACAACGTTTTGATATTTTACAGTGTTTTTACATTTAGTTTGTTATTTCTTGATTGTCATTTATAGATTTTGGCATTTTATGGTTTGTATTTGTGAAATCTATTACCTAGATCACCTTTTTCTTGTTTTATATTTTTTAGTCTTTGCAGGATGTAATTTCAATAATCATACTATGGAATGTATGAGGTTGTTCTTTCACGTTAATGTATGGTTGTTTAGACAAGTATTATAAGTCTGTGATTAAGGCTATGGCGCTTAACATGTATATATGTTTTAAAACTGATTATTTATACGACCGGTTCCGCGTTCAGTAATGTTTTTGTACTATCTTGTTATAAAAAGTATCAAAAGGTATGCCATGTTAAAACACTAATATTGTAAAAAGCATGTAAATCAATATTTTTTAAATTGACATGTTTTAAGCGTGGTAGTAGCTAGTCTAAGCAAGCGTATATTGCGCTTACTCCTAGTAAGCGTATACTCCACCTAGTCCAGAGAAACGTGTTTTGTGGTTAGCTCTAGCAAGGGTATATTTTAGCTATTATAGTTTTAGCAAGCGTTTACTGCAGTAGTTCAAGCGTACGCTGTAGCTATTCTAAACAAGGGTATATTGTGCTGGGCCCAAGCAAACGTATATTGTAACTAGTTCAAGCTTAGGGTTCAAAACGTCTTTTCTAGGTTTTCAAACTATGCGGTGATGTTTGTCAACCCTACTCAAACATCATCCCATGTTTATGC